TTGTAAGGATAAAAAGCGTAGCTTGTTTGGGAGTGTATGATCCGAAGCCTAGTCTCTGGATGATGCGTGAGTTGAAGATCGCATTAGATGCTACCCCATATCTGGATGTACGGCACAAACTTCCTAGTNNNNATTGCCCAAGGGTCACTTCATCGATAACCCACATGATCAGCCTCCCTAAGGAGTAGTAATGTTTAAAAAAAATGCAACTTACTGAGAAGGTAGCGAGTTTTGTTCGGCGGCCCGAGTTAAAAACTATTCGAGAGATGAAGAATTTCCAAGTGCTTCAGCTCGGGCTTCAAATTCAAAGACATCCACAGCAGAAGAAATATGAGAGAGTGAAGTTTTTGGCTTTTATCAAGCCCGCTTCTGGGAATGGGCTTCCCTCAATCGATTTCCACTCAGAATTGTAGTGGTGTTTCGAGTGGCGTATACGGTCTATAAAGTGACCTGAAGAAGCCATAAGACATACAGGTTAGCGCTTCTGTTCTCTCAGAACATCTTAGACTGATTGATCAAACTTGTAAGGATAAAAAGCGTAGCTTGTTTGGGAGTGTATAATCCGAAGCCTAGTTTCTGGATGATGTGTAAGGTTGAAGGTCGCATTAGGTTCTACCCCATATCTGGATGTACGGCACAAACTTCCTAGTGAGCAGCCGTTCTATGGCTCCAAATGCTTTCCGCCCCTAAGACTGGAAGCATTTTTCAACAAAAGCCGATAGGCAGAAAATTACTGTGACGCAGCAGGTTCAGCTCGAAATGATGGGGCCTAGCTCCTTGCCGAGTTCTCGGTGAAGCTAAACTACAAGTAAAATCATCAAGCAATGACAGATATTCGGTAACGGACTGATTATCACAGTTACAGGGGGAGCAGCTGATATACATAAAGCCCACGGATCGATTATGGAGCTTAAGTTCTGCTACAGTTGCCCCGCAACTACATACATATCTCATATGTAAGCTATTCAAACGACACTACGCTTCTGAATGGAATGTGTAAGTGCATCCCAAAACGAAATTTATCGACTCCTAACAACTTATACATTCTGCTTTTCACCTCACCCAGCAACGCAATACAAATGCGAAGCAGTTGTGGAGGAGCCTCTGAGGAGCTGCCAAGGAGATACTGGTAAAGTATGTCTATATGATTCATAAGCAAACTTTTTTTTGAATCACAGCAATCTCACCGAAATTGCTTTAGCACCAACCCTTGGGGTTTGGCTCATTGCCAGAACAAACTCCACATTGCGAAACTAAAGGATGATATTAAAAAAACAGGGCGATCTCCGACTCTCGACGACTTAGATTTTACAGTTCGTTTGGAGTCTGGAAGTTTTGCCAATATAACTAAAAGAATATGTGAAGATCACGGGTCTGCTAAGGGTGTAAAGGAGCTTCCGGAACAAGCTGGGTCGAGAAGAGATAGAGGAGTGCTTACTTACGGGTATGGTGCAGTAGTTTCGAAATTGTCGCGCCGCGGTGAGAGGGATGCCGCGCGCGAAGGAATGTGGCAGAATGCAGCAGCAGATAAGAAATACAGGAACGAAAGAACTAGCATTAAAATCATACCAAAAATAATAGTCGCATATCGATTGAGCTGTATGAAGAACGCTAGTACTGTAGTAACGTGGCGAATGGTAAGGAATGCCGCGCGCGTGGAATCGATTACACAAAACCGATTCTACTGCCCGTCTCCCTTACTTAGTTCCTTGTAAGGTCGGCTGTAATGAGTGACATGGAAGACTTAACAGTCTATCAAGAGCTTACCCCACTCACTACCTGCTTCAAGTGGATCTCTTAGGTAGATGGAATCATAGGCTTGCCTTTTTAGCTTTATGACGTTATCATTCTAACTTACAACCTTAATGAATTACTTATGTGTATCTTTAACATTGTCTGGTTTTGAAGAAACAGGTTCTCCTCGTTCCAAGAGATTTTTCCTCTCAGAACTCGGAGAAAGCTATGACGATAGAGTGACAGATAGATAAATCCTTATTAGCAACTCCGACTGCCGGCTGAATTACAACTGGAACCTGTACATAAAGTTTATGGGTAGTCCCATATCACTGTGGCTCTGATGAGTGAGCCGATAAAGTTTAAATAATAAATGTAATAACCAATAATATTAAATCAATAGTAAATTAGTTAGCATAAAGAGTACAGTCTTTCGCTTCGATCAACCTCGTTGCGAGACACGCCCTGCATCCAACATTTGACCAGAAACGCAAAAGCATTTGGAAGATGAAGTGGCCTAAACAATGGCTTGCCGTGACCAGCCGATGAACGAAATGGCGTTTATCCTCCTATATGCAGGTAATCTACCTCGGGGGGACGTAATGTTTGCTTGACCTGTTGAAGTGCCGATCCAGAGTTCGATCCTCGGACCACATGTGCGATAGAGCGTCACTTTCTATCGCATCTCCTTCACTCAATGAACTAATAACGGCTAGTAAATAATAAACAAATAATAAATGAGTAAAAGGATAAAGTTATTGGCGTTAATCAATCCCGCCTGAAAGATGCGCCCCCGCACTCTACTTCCATTCAGAATCGTAGTGGCGTAATGAGTGCGTAAGTGGCCTATACAATAACTTGCGGTGGCCGGCCGATGTACAAGTCAGTGCTTTTATCCTCCCAGACAAGTCTGGTACCAAGTAACTAACCCGGAGGGATGGAAGGCCTCGTTGGCCTGTGAGGGCATCGATCCGACATTCGAACCCCTGACCGTGCGTGTGAGATAGTGCCCAACTTGTCACTACATCGCCTCAGCCCAAATAAATAATAAGTTAAGCATTAATCGACTAGTCCCTTCTTTGTACGATGTACTTATGTCCTTTTTCATAGTAAACGATCATAATTTGTAGTCATTGCAGTCAGTTTTAGCATGTAACTACACTGCGTAGTGCGTATGTGTACTTTCCTTTGACACACTTGTCCATTGAAACGCACTAAGCACCCATACATACACATACGAGAGTATTCACCTTTGAAGCTACAAATTGGTAGCCGCAGCGCCAGTTAGAAAAAAATCCTCTTTGTTCAGAGATATGACGGATGGACGCGGCCGTGAGGGTTTTTAACCCAGCTCATAAAAAAACTCGAAATTCAGGACTAACATTTATTCCGGGAAGGTTGCGGGGGAAACGAAGGGCATTACAATTGATATTAATATAAAGATAATCTCAGGGATACTAATAAAAGGAAACCTTCTAAGTTCAGATGCCATTCATCGTCTCTTGCATTCACCTAATTTTCACGGGCAGTATTGCTCGTGATTGGTACGGACAAAAGAAAAACTTTAATGGCTTCTGCTTCAATACCTTGGAAGAAAATCCTAAAGGAATTATTGAAGGTACAGTTCACAATAATTCTGAGGTACCCTTTTTTAGCAGAAAAGCGGAAGTTTTGACTGAGAATAGTACGGTGGCGAAGAAAGCCGAGAAACTCGGCTAATTTCGTGAAATATGAGGCTTAAAAAGTAGCGAAAAGGGAATATACGAGATTACGACGACAGAAGTGGCACTGACGGGGCATTCGGACGAGATTCCAGTTGTTGCAATTGTGCAATGATCTGACCTTTTCAACCAACAATTGTTCAAAACTGCTTT